TTAATCACAGCAACACAAAGTGCAAAAGAAAACCTAAAGAAAAACTAGACCATCATCATTTCAACAACACCTAAATCCATTACATATTTTATAGGTTTATAACAAACTTTGGGAAAGGTTGTCAATCTGTCTCAGGGCTGATCACCACAATTGATTAGAATCATCAATTAACAAAAGATGCTTATCTTTGGACGTAAGCTGGAACAATGCAAAAGTCTACAGATAAATAGGAATATCATAAAATCCACAAGAAAACGTATGGGCAGAAAATTGTACCATAAGCACCTGAATTTAATTTCTCAGAATGAATCCATATTCATGTAATTTGAAATAAATCCATTGGTTTGAAAATGAATTTCAACAAACTGAAACACATTATAACTTTGTATTGAAAATTCAGTTGGACTACTTTCATTGTCAGTTCTATAATTCAATGTCAATTCCAAAATTCATTTTTTTGTGCCGCACATCCGGATCCTTGAGAAAGCCACGGAGTAACGGAACGCAGATTGATAGATTCACGTTTCACATCAGTGAAACTTCCTTTACAGAAATGTAGGCACGGGGTTCAGCCTCAAGGAGGCGGTGATGCAACAGAGTGCATGCAATCCGCCATAAAGCACTAAAGAAGAAAAATAACATCCTTTACGACATAGTTTGAGTAGAAGCAGTGGTACACACACAGTCAAGTTCATGTGCACGCCACTGCTCCAGCTTAGTGCTTAATTTGTAAACCAAATGATGATGGAATGCAAATAGCAGGCGGAGTTAGGGCGTCTCTGGGGGTCCTCCCTCATAAAATTTTGAGTAAAGTACATGCCATTTCCTACATTCTGCTGTATTTTAATGGGTTGTTAAACATTTATATTTACCTACAGTTGTAAAGACTAGACACAAAAACTATTTTAAAGAGCAACAAGAAGTATCCTGACCAACAGCTCCTCTTGTGTGAATAGAGCACACTCCACTACTCTCAAGCATCCTCACTTCTGCTCCATTACTTTCTCCATTGCCACTGCCTTCATGTGCATCAATTCTCAGTTGTTTATTTGTACAATGAGAAGACTTTTTTTAATGAAAGTAAATTAAACTGTCTTTTCAACATTTTGATCTGTTATTTTGACAAATTGGTGCAGTTGTTTTTATATGTGATGTACGTAACGTGATTATCCATCAAATATTTCTCTCGTGTTTTGAATAAATAATCACAATTATATTAATGTATATATTATATAATTAGATTAATATTATTTTTTTGTGTTTTTAATTAAATTAACCATTACTGAACTTTTGGGGGTGGAGATTTTTTTTAAGGGTAGAAGCAGAAATGCTTATTTGAAGGGACATCTCTTATGTGATATTAGGAAGCTCGTAAGTGGCTTATATGTTTAAAAATAGCATTTTTGTAATTATTTTCAGAATACATATCCTATATAGGTTTTATTCGTTTCAAGGCCGTCAAAATTTGTTCATAACTTTATTAGTAGTAAGCCTGGGAGTTACCCAATCCAAGCAGTTACCGGAATGCACCCTGTCAGAATAAGAGTTCCCGGATCCTGTTCCGGCAGGATCTGGATGTGGCAGGATGTGACACAAAATACTGAGTTTTGGAATTGAAATTGAATTACAGAACTGAAAATGAAAGTAGTCAAACTGATTTTTTCAAAATAACAAAATACAGTTTCAAAGCATTAGATTCTGTTTCAGTTTAGTGAAATTCAGTTTCAAACAAGTGGATTTAATTTCAAATTATGCAAATACAGATTCAGTCTGAGCAATTCAAATTCAGTTTCTGAAGGCACAAGTTTCAGTCCATAAAAAGGTTCTCCTGCAGAGGAGGGGAAACATCTAAATTGCACATGGATCAGCTGTAACTTTGTGACCTTTGACATCTAAAGCAAAAAGGTTTATGTCAGTACAACAAGACAAGGATTTCTTTTAGACAGAACTTCATGGGTTGGAAATAAAAACAAACAAACAAAAAAATGGACAAGGCTAAGAATTTCAGAGACTTGATGTGCAGTTTTTTAGATGGGCACATGAACGCATCTCCACAACTGCAGCTTTAGTGAGGCGTTAGGCTGCAGCGGTCATGACCCGCCTAAAGTGGTCCAAGGAAGACAAACTGGTGAACCAGCAACAAGGTCGCAGATGGAAAAGGCAGAAGGAATGGTGTAATGTTGAGCGCAAGGATAGGTGTGTTCTGCCAACTGGAAGAGCTGTTTGTGAAATCGTTAAAAATAAAGTCAAAGCGTGTTCTGTTGGACATGTAACGGGTAACAAGTGCATCTAGTTGCATGAGTTCTGTGTAGCTGTAGAATGGATCAGAGTAATTATCGTGGTCAGTCCGTTCTTTAAAACAAGCAACAACGGCTCGGTTCTTAAAAATTGCATCAAAAATGAAGGCCTGGTCTGATGAATTATCGTGTCCTTTCTACCATAATGACAGCAAACCTGTATGTTGGTACCTTAAAGAAGATTTGGTAACAAGAGAAACCATTAAACGGTAAAGCCAGCAGGAGTGGTGGTGCTTTGGGTAGTTTTCTGCAGAGGTCTCGCCATCCATGTGGGTGTTAGCGTGACACAGACTACCTACATAAACATTGTTGCTGACCATGTACAGCCCATCATAAAACCGATAATGGTGTTCTTTTCCTGATGGCAGTGACCTCTTTCAGCAGGATAATACACTCTGCCACATGACACAGTTTGAAGAATACGCCTCCTGTGTTCACCTAATTGGTGCCTTTACCACAACAGAAATCCCTTCCTTATATTTACAGATATTGTGAACAAGGAAAGCTAATGCATCTTAAATTCTGCATATTGTCCAACATGTCAGCATAAACTTGAATTATTATTATTATGGGTATTTTTTGTAAAGTAGTATTTGCTTTTCATCCATTCCTAGAGATTAGGAAAATGCCTGACATTTAAAACACCTTTAAAAAGCATTTCTACCTTGTTTGCTAATATGTCCACACATTTAATGGCGCTTATTGCAAACTATAAAACAAAACGCTCAGAAAGGTTATCCCGAGTTATATCAAACGCTGCAGTTTGAAAGAGTTTACTCTAAGCTTTATTGATATGCAATTCAGAAATGCAGGTCCACACTCACTGCAAACAAAACACTCAGCTGAATCTGTCGAAAACTGCAAGCTTGAGTCACATAAGTGACTTACTCAGTGATGTCACTCCATTAGATTTTTATGATTTAGATATTTTTGGAATGGGATTCTGAGAAGATTATAAATAAAATAACGTTTTATAGATAGGTTTCTGAATGGACTCAGAATGGAGGAACAAAGTACCGTAATTTCTGGACTAAAAGCCGCTATTTTTTTCACATGCTTTGAACACAGCAGCTTATACAATGCTGTGGATAATTTATGGATTTATTTATTTATTTTTTGACAAGCTGATAAGCTTCATGCCGCTAAAACATTTAGCCTTGTCACACCTGGGCGCTCACATAGCTGCCCAATACACGTCTCTCTTGGGTGGTGGGTCCTTGTGACTCAATGAGACTAACCTGTATGAATAAAAGTAAAAAAAAAAAATAATAATCTGGCCAATGAAATCACAGAGCAGGTCACAGTGGACCAATGAAACGAGGAGGGAAGGCCAATGAAATGGGGGTGGGGTGGGGGGTGGGGGGGTAATCATTGTGCCCCCAGGGAGGGGTTAGACTTGTTTCAAAAGGCAGCTGCATGATGGACAGCACAAATTTGCACAGAAGAAAGATGAAGATAGCAATTAATGACTTCCTTCTATGCTACTGTCGTTTCTTAACCAGCAATAAATAAATAAATAAATAAATAAATACTGTACATATTTGTGTATGTTACCAGTACATATTTACTTAAGTTAAAAATATATATATTTCTGTGTAAATATCTAATTTTACAACGTGGACACTGTTTACAGACAAGCGTGGCCTATATATGTACTTTTTTGTGGGCGTGGCTTATATTCGGGGTTGCTCAATAGGCTTGCAATTACGGTAGCTAAGTCCAGACTGACAAGCTAATGGTTGGTCCCAGTGGAGCCAAAACCAAAGTGTATTGCTAAAGTCAAAGATTTTTAGCAATCAATGCAAATTCTATTTCATAAACAGTTGTCAATTTTGCATTGAATGATCATTTAAATAAATCGTATAGTAATTTGCAAGTACAAAAATCATTAGCAGCTAGATGTAGCATGTCCTGCAAGTATATTTTCATCTAAACTTGTTTTGAGATGGCACCACTCAGCTGTAGTCAGTCCTGCTCAGACTAGTGTTAACTCATCGGCCCATTCAGAATTAACTATTCATCCAAAATAAGATTCAAGTTCCATCTACAACAGGTAAGATATTGTTTTTCATAACCATTCCACAGAGCTCCACTTTAAATCTGAATTACATTTTTACATGAACGAATGTAAAAGGCAAGATTTATACATGAAAGCTAGTTGAAGAAACACTGGCAAATGTTTTTACTTTATTTTTTTTTTTTTTTATCTTAGTGCGTACCCTTACAAAAACTCAAACTGAACAGTTTTTATTTTCCCAATGAATAAATAAAGTTGAATAAAAACAAAAAGGGGACACTGGATGAAGTTAATTGTATGTCCATAAATTACAAAAACACATTTTATGACTGCAAAACTTTGTCAAACAGCTTTTTTTATTATCAAAATGAATTTTCTTTGCTTTAATGTGAACAAAAATGTGACACCGTGTACGTCACCGCGTCATCGTTATGTAGACGAGTGGGGGAAGAAAAGCCTGTTAGTTCAGGAGCAGAGTCCTCTGCGGGGGACAATGGTTCCCTTCAGAGTGGGTTTTGGGCTTTGTAACCGAGCAGACCTTGAACAAAATATTACATAACACACTGGAGGAGGAATAAACCTAAAAGCCTCATGACCTCTTTAAATTTCATACTTTTGTGTCTTTTTCTGCAATTTGAGGACAGTAAGCCTAAAATGTCTGACTGTAGTGATGATGGAGCAGTTACCTTCAGGTCACCAGGGACCAGACAGGGAAATAGCACGTTTTCTCTGGACTCCTGATGAATGAGGCTGGGCTCCAGAATGAACCGTCTTCGTTGGTAACATCACCTCGACCTGCAGCCAGAGGAGACATGCACATGTAAAATTTATGACAAAAAGCTGGAGTCTTGTTAAAATATACTTTCATATCATCTCAAATAACCCATGAGCAGATTGGGGTGAATGTGGTTTGAATTTGGGCAAACATATTTCTGACTATTGAAATCCAGATCCCCCTTTTCTGTTAAATAATCCAAAACATTTTGCACGTTCACACCGAGACAGGCGTGTCCACCTTTGTTCTGTGATGCAGGAGGAGGGTGAAGAGTTCGGACTATGTGTCCATTCAAAATGATATTTTTATGGAATCACTGGATTTATTTTTCCACTGCTTTTTCTTTGTACACCTTTTGGCTTAAGGAAACTCAGAAGTTTTTTTGGCTTATTATTGTCACATTCAAACAAATATCTGGTTTGAGGCTCTTTTGTCAGGGGTGTCCAGCCTTTTTCCTACGTTAGCCTAAACTGTCGGGAAGAAAGTAATGGAGGGACACAAAAATGTTATTTAGATTTCATTTAATATTGAAAGATAATTTTAAAAAGCATTTCATTGTGTGTGTGTGTGTGTGTGTGTGTGTGTGTGTGTGTGTGTGTGTG